AACAAATATATACGTAAATAAGCTGCTATTTCTATTCTACTTCTTAAATTATTAAACACCATTTCTATCTTCTGTTGTCTTGCAGTAAATAGTATCTCTTGTATAAATATCTGGTTTAAGGACAGTGGTTCTGGGTATAATGCAGAGGATTTAGAGCAGTGTTTCCCAACCTAGGCAATGTGTAAATTTCAACTCCTAGAATTCTTAGTAATGGCCATCCTGGCTGGGGAATTCTGGGAGTTGAAATGCACATATCTTAAAGTTGCCTAGGTTGGGAAACACTAATTGAGAGCATTTAGTAATGTGCTATCAAAGCAGTTGAGCCAATCAAACTGACGAGCCACCTTTTAATTCTATTCTTATATAGAGCTTGTTCGTAATGGCTAAATCTTAATTTGGTCTCTTCATTGGAAGCTGTTGTGCCAGAAATGCTTGTTCAATTCTAAATAGTTTTTGGAGACTGAGAAACTTGAGATATTTTTGCAACCTTAAAATTGAGAATCCAGCGTTCAGACAAAAGGGTAGCTTGTGCACATTCTGACTTTACAGAAATGAAGCACTTTGTTTTCTTCTTCTTTATTCTGGAGTAAACAATTATAATGCTGTCTTTCACTATTGCATTTCCTTTTCCTCTCTAAATCTATATATTTCACCTATGTGGCCCTGTATTTTACAAACTTTTTGGTGGACAGAAATTAATGTTTTTTCCATTTCTATGGAATGTTTTTCTACTTGTCATTTGGTGAACTCTAAACCTCCTCAGTTGTCATACCATATGTGAGACTGAGACATTGGTTATATAATGTCTTCAGGATGCCTCTGAATACAAGCTACTCCATTCTGAATTCAAGAACCAGTGTGGTGTAGCAATTAAGGTGATGGAATATGGCTTGGGAAACCAAAGCTTAAGTCTATCTTCAACCATGGAAACTCAATGGATGACTTGAGTTTCACTTTCTCTTAGTTCAATCTACCTCAAGGTTTGTTATTGTGAGAATAAAATGAAGGGAAAATTCTCCATTCAAGAAGGGATGGATAATAAATATAACAAACTAAAAAACACTGGTGTGGAAAGAAGGACTCCTCATGTCCTTCTTGTAGTCTTTCTATATTTGTCTGTTCAGCTACTGTGGGGAATAGGACTTTGGTTTGATCCATCAAGTCCCTTCTAATGTTTTCATGAAAAAGAGACAAAAGGACCTGTTAACTCTTGTCAGAAGTATAAAATACCTGAGCTTTAGAGCCTGGTATCCTACAGTATCTTACTATCAGGGCTTGATATTGTAAGCAAAGTCAAAGTTGCCCTATTTCCTGTCCCTGCCCAACCAAATAACTCTCCATAACTGAATTAAGGAGAGAGGATTGGGGAAGTACAGACACTAATCCATATCAAGTCACAGAAGTAGAGGTAATCCTGTTTAAGAATGAATTCTGTTCCCAAGGTCTGTCCTTAAGTTGAATTTGCATGTAAGCCGGAACAGTATTATTGTATAATACTGTATAAAAAGTATTGTGTAATGAACTCAAACCATTATGTATTTAACTTGAATCACTGTGTATTTAACTCAAATTTTGCTACAATAGGCCCTGTTCTTAACTATGGGTCATCTGTAAATCAGGCATTCTTAACCCAGGGACTATCTGTATTTGTGAAATATACTAATGCATATATTGATCTCCCCTAAAAACTCTCTCCCCAAAACTATATTAATTTGAAAGCAGATCTTACATTAATTCATGCTAAAAAGGTTGAAAGTAACTAGAGAGCAAGGCAAGTTACTAAACATTATACCATGAATTGATTGTCCTTCTGTTTTAGAATCCTTCCTCATTATTTGTTATAGTTTGATTTCTGTAAATTTCCAAGTTTAATTCAGCTTTCTCATTTAAGCCTAGAGGGCAAGAACCCGGAATCCCTAGGGGCTGAAAGAAAATACAGTACTATTATACAAGAAAATGCATTTTAAAAATGCATTTAAAATGGCAGCCCTTGGCTAGATGAACCCTGCTTCCCTACACAAGGAAAAGAAGCGGTTGTGAAAGGAGTGGAAATATGTGCCAAGGCATTACTGGGTCACTTAAAAAAAATAGCTGTCACTGCTATTCTTGTTGAACTTGTGAATATATCTCAAATGTTATTCTCAAATTTGTCATCTTACTGCCTTGTGCTGAATCTGAGCTTGTTGGCTTGATGACACGATTCGCATCTTCATGAAGACTGCCAAACCAGTCTTTTAGACGTGATGCAAGATTTCGCAGCTCCTTGTCTGTGCAAGCTGCAAAAAGAATGACAGCAATTACATGACAGATAACATGATAAACACAGCTTTACTAAAGATTATTTTTGTTTACTGCCTGAAGAATAAACTTTGATTCAAAGACCACTGAATTCCAAAGAGAAATTGTGTAGCAGGTCAAAGGTTAAGAGTGTATCAAGAACATACAAAGCAGCAAGACAAGATTTATTATTATGCTTGAATTTTGGCTAAATGGGAGACATAATTTATGATGTACAATCTGGACACAAATCCATCTTCTGTTGCTTCTCAGTGATGTGTGGGATTTTTCTATTTTGTTTTTTTGGTAATAGGTATCACCTTTTAGGTCTTCCAAGAAAGGACATCAATCAAACAGTAGTAGGGAAAAATAGCACTGCTATTATATCCAAGACCCTGGATATAATTTATAACCTTGTTTGGTTTAGCTTAAAGTTATTGCCATGGTAATAGGAAATCTTTTAATGTAAGGTTTCATGTTTTTCAGTTTGATGGCATTTTTAAATCCCTTCTCTGTTCTTAAAGTTTATTTAAACATGTAGCAAGCACTAAAGCAAATATAAGACATAATAAAAAAATAAAGAAGTAGAAAAGTACACAAAAGCAGACACACACTTATTTGTAATCTTTAATATTGAAATATTCAATAGTTCTGTCCAGACTGACATTTGTATAGATGGAGGTAATATATTAGGAAATGCTATGTTGGTGTAATTAAAAAACAGAACAAACATGAGTAAAGCAACCTTAAATTAAAGTATTCTTCATGTGGTGTTAATTTTTCATCCAATGCTGAAAAGCTAAACTTCAGTTTTCCAGTGAGTTTTGTTATAGCAAATCTGGCAGCTTACAACAGAAATTGAATTAATTTCTTATATTGCACCATTTCATATGTCTTGGGAAAAATAAACAATAAGCTTATACTAGCATTAATTATTAAATGTTGTTTCATAATCCTTCCAGTTTCTTCAAGATCTTTCAGTCATCATTAAGAATCACATGGTTACTACTATGAGAGATAGAACATGTACCGATTTGATTATAATCCCTTCAATACAATCGACACATTGATTTATATAAAGCAATTTTAAGGAGGCATTCTACAATTTATAAATTATTTCTATAGTCAGTTCTTGATGAATTCCAAAATAAAAGGAATTTAAAAGGATTTTTACTCCATAAATAGTTCCCTGTTGATTATTCATTATATTCAAATCCCAAGTTCTCTTCCCATACTTTTAAAAGTTTTGTGATATTTGATACAGGACCCTGCTAGGTGACAGTACCAACCTGTCCTTGAAAAACTAAGAAGTTTGGTAGAAGTTGGATGGGAGACCTACCTGGAAATCCTAGGCTGTAGGCAAGATTGGAAATCTGGGGAAAATATCCCAGAAGGCAAAAGCAAACTACTTCTATATTGTTGCAAAAAACAAAAAAAAATTATATGGAATTTAGCTCAACTTAAGAGTTTTCCATTTTACTATGCACTTTACATAATATTTGATTCTAGGATATACACCATTCTTCAAACACTGTTAATTTCAGGACTGATAAAGTCAAATTTGTTTAAGAAAGAAAACTGAACTTGCATAATTTGGACTTCTGGTCAATTTTTCTTTAAAATATATTCAGCAGAAATAGGTTTCCAATCAATGATCAAGTGTCTAATCCTATGGTCTTCAATCCTCCCATTTCTTGGGCACATATTTATTCATGTTTTAATATTTGGATGATCAAGGAATGGGACAAAAGAAGGATCAAAGATCAGAATTTTATTCCCCTTCCAAATTTCAAAAGGTAAATTTTAAATACAGGTAGTCCCCAGTTCAAGAATGAGTTCCATTCGCAAGGTCTGTCCTTAAGTTGAATTTGTATGCAAGCCAGAACAGTACTATTGTATAATACTGTATAAGAAGTATTGTGTAATGAACTCAAACTGTTGTGTATTTAACCTGAATCATTGTGTATTTAACTCAAATTTTGCTACAACAGGCTCCATTCTTAACTATGGGTCATTTGTAAACCAGGCGTTCTTAACCCGGGTACTACCTGTACAGATTTGTGATGTCAATGTGAATTACTAAACACCAGGGAGAAAGTGTATTGCCTAAGAGATGAAAATTTGCTCAGTTAACTTGCACTACTAAATATACGTTGAGTTCTGAATAAGATGAATTCATGCATTTTAACTGAAAAGCATTAAAGCAATGTTTCAAATTTGGTGCATTTGAACTTCCCTCATACTTTTGCTTATCATTTTTGCTTACCTGATACTAGTTTTTTTTTTAATTAGGAATGTAGGTATGTATGTGTTATGAATGAGCTAATTCTTAGCTACATACAAAATGAAGTAATAGTTAAGGCAAATGTAAGTGTCTGAAACAGGAACAAAAACTGTAGATCGAATAGTCATTTTAATTGCAGGTATTCTGCCAAGCAGTAATAAAGGAAAATGGTGTAATGTTAAGTTGTCCTTGGATTTTTCAGAATAGGATCATAATTACATTGCTTTATTTGGTGACAGTCCTTTATAATAATTATCCCTCTGCAATCTCTTAATGGTAATATCATTTCTTCATGTTATCTAGATAAATGTGTCCACTATTCATTTCTGTTATACATGTTTATTGGGGAACATCTAATTTTTTTTTGTTATAAATTTCTGCTAAGCGATTAGTGGTCAGCAGAATCCATTATTTATAAGAAAGGACAGAAAAGATGTTCCAGCTTTTCATTATCTTTAGTGATAGAATTCACATATTGAAGCCATTTTATTATTCTTCACATGAGTTCATTCAAAAAATTAAATAACATTATTCAAATACAAAAGAAGAATTTCCTCCATGCTTCACACAGTAATCCATGAATTAATGGACATGCTTCACATAATAACTTACATTGTAGTATCTCCATTCACTGCATATTCTAATATAGTCCCTTGAACTATCTCTATACAGCCCAATGAATGTCATTGTGTTGTACAAAGCTAGGAAATTGGATTTTTATTTAGTGCAAGACACTTTTAAAAACAGTTTAAAAACAGCAAGGAAGAGAGATAGCATAGCAAAGGACAGAAGTGGTAGTCATAAGGATTATATATCAAAACCAGAATCAAATTCAATTGCATGAGCCAATACAATTAAAAGATTGTATCAGAACATTCAGAAAAATGGACTTTTATCTATGAAGCCAAAGAACTATCTTAGCAGCCAAAGAACTATCATAGCAACCACACACACAACCACACACACACACAGACATACAAGCACCTGATGGAACCCCACCCCTGCCCGTAATCAGCTAGTGTCTACAGCAGTCTTGTTCTGCATGCAGTTTGCCATAATATCCTTACAAGATTTGTAAGGAGCCTTAGACAGTGATCTAGTTTAACCCCCTGCTCAGCGCATGGTCTGCAATGCAGGACTGAAGAAGCAACCACAGAATAAGTGATCATCAGTATTAACAGGTGGTGTTCCAGCCTCTGATTAAACCCCTCTAGTGAAGGTGTGTATACAACTTGTCAAGGCATTAAGTTTTGTTGTCTTAGGAACATTTCTTCTAATTTTTATCCCCAAAAAGCTGCTCTCTAATTTTGAGCAAATGATTCTGGTGTTTTCAATAAGTATGGTTTAGTTTGCTTCATCTGTCATGTGGCCTAACCAGCACAACCAATTCAAAAGTGGCCTAACCAGCACAGAGTAGACTGGAATGATTATTATTTGACCTGGATGTATTACAGATACTTACTTTTTAGCAACAACCCTTTACTACTATCTCATGTTCAGACAGTTTATATTAAGACACTGGAACCATATGTACGATTGCCAAGCCAGATTTTTTCATCCTATACTTGGGCCTTTGACTTGCTGTATCTAAATGTAAGTACAACATTACATTAATTTGTTCGCATCTCATCTTGTTTATTCTATTTTAGTATTCCAATTTTCCAAGATAATTATGAACTTCGGTGTTAGCTACCACTTCTGACTGTGAAACTTCTGTACGCATACGTATCATTGAAAGGCCAAATACATTCCTGGCTAATTTATTCTTTTATCCAAGTCATTTATAAAAATGTTGAAATAATACAGAGCTTAGGATAGACTCCTTTTTCTTTACAGCTGTCTCATCTGCTTAAGGTGCGGGGAGGGGTACAGCTCTGTTTCTGTACATAAAGTTGTTCTATCACTCAAATGACAGGCATGCTGCCTTTGGGAAGTATGCATATGCCTTTGATTATAAGGCCACAATGGATTCCTGAAATAAGTAATAACTTAGAAACATGGGGAATAAAGCATCTTTGAAAGTATTTTTCAGGAAAAAATAAGGATTTATACTGAACACATATAATGCTGCATTGCATTATAGCCTTCGTTCCATCATACAACATTGTCCTTAGAAGCTGGAGTGAGCTGAAGACTTGGCAGTTAATACTAACCTTCCCAGGCTTCCAGATGTTTAAGGACTATGACTGCCATCAGCCTTAGGCATGTAGACACTTGATTTTTATCTATGTTTATTCCTTTCTACATGTGGACTACAAGCTGTAATAGCGGATTGAGAACTCTTTAGCTACGTCACAGCAAGTAGCCCATAAATGATACAGGCCTGTTTTATGTATAAGACTGTGCTACTTTTTATACTTTTTCAGGAGTGTTCTATGGGATTCATAAAAAAAAGCAAAGAGATTTGTTGCACTTAAATGATCTCAAGCTATTATGTGCAAAGTTAAAAAAAAAAATCCAAAAGACATAAGCATGTAAAATTGGCAAACTATAGTGAAGGGAAATGTAATTTTAACAAGTATGTTGTTTTTATTACTGAAAAGGTCATGCATTATTCATTATCCTTTATTATTAGAAACTATGCAACCTTATACTTTATTACATTCTACTCTTTATCCAAAAATAGAAATAAAAGACCTTAATTAATGAATTATCTAAGGATATCAAGTAGCCTTTCCTCTAAAGAACTGCCAGAATGGCTGATAATGGAAAGAA